TGTAGGCATCGATGCCACAGTCACCTAGTTTTTTAACTAGGATGGGGTGAGAGACGGTGTCAAAGGCCTTGCTGAAGTCCAGAAAGACTACATCCACCGCGACACCTGCATCCATGGTTATATCCATTTGGTTATTTAAGGGGAATTCTGAATCCACATTTATTCCACAGGTGTGAAAATACTCCATTTTTGTGTAGCAACATTAGAAGAAGATAAGATTCTTGCAGTAGGGATATTTAGTCTTTGAAGATTTCTTTGTTATGGTGTGGTCATTAGCCTGCTAATGGAGTTACAAGCCTTTTGTTTCCCTTCATATTCATTTCAAGGCATGAAGAATCCTATTTATCGTGAAGCATATGTAGATTCATTAGGGAAAATGAGAGTGCATGCTTTGGCCTTGGGAGGGCTTTTCACTTTCTTACCCATTGCAGCAAGCCTTCACTATTTCAGCCCTCCAGCAAAGTATCTCTCAGGTTTAGTTGTTGATGCTCATGTCAGTATTCTGGCTGTGTGTTGTTCTGTAGTTCCCTATCAGTTATCTTATTGTGACTAGTCAGGGAGACCAATGACCAGAAATAGGTGGGAAAATATTTATGCAGAAATGGCAAGTAGCGAGTGAGATGCTTGTGATCCCACAGAGTTACCCAAAGGAAACAAAGCAATTTTCCAGCGACCTGCCTGCTGACTTGTCACCATTGAAAAAGTCTCTGGTGGCGTGCAGTGTTGCATCCAGTAATGTTAAATTGGGCCTTGTACCGAGTGTTAATTCCAAAACTAGGACACGGTTACCCCTTAACCGGTAACAAATGTATTAGCCCTTAGCAGTTACAAGTTTAGTGTTATAGTTAGTCAAAAGCAATACAACATGCTCGCCACCCCAAAATTTAATGAACGCGACGACCCCGGGTGATCAGTCTGTGAAATCTTGTCCAGGCTTCCTGACGCCGTCTGAGTTCTGAATCTTGGATCCGTGACCAGATCTTTCAGGAGTAGGTTTCAAAGGGTACAATCTCTCACCTCTCTTTCATATACCATATAGCTTGCATTTCTTACTACACAAAATTAGCTTAAGCTGTCCTCCTAATGTATATTAATAATTTTGCTTCTGTTTGCCCAATATGGTCACTCTTAACTAGAATTTTCCATTCTATGGTAATCTTTTCATTTTTAGGTGGGGGTAGGTTTTGCTCTGTCTGTTCCCTTTTTGTCCAGACTATATTTATTCAGTGTAGTTAGCTAACCTCCCTATTCATTTTCAGTCAGGGACAGTGTTTTTCCATCATGCCTCTTTAACCGGGTGCAAATTTTGACCACAGTTAAAGCTAAGCACGCAGCTTAAACTAAGCCCAAAGGTCAAAACCCAGCCCTAAAGGCCTCTGGGTCCCAACGGTAGCTATCTGTCACCATTTGAAGCAGCAACATAAGATGGCTTCCAGTTCTTTCAATGTGGAGACTTTGTGGAAGACAAGTAAGGTTCTTCTAAGTTCTCTCCACATTCATTTGTGGCTGTATGGTCTATCCTTCTTTTTAGATAAGATCACAGGACACTTCTACGGCCAACACAAAAAAAAAAAGGAATAGTAGAGAGGTAGTGGGTGTGCTTTTAGGCATTAATTTTAACAAGGAAATGAGGAGCACCAACACTGTGTGACCAGTCAGTTCTCCTTTCAGCACGCTTTGGAATATGGGCAAGGGTCAAGAATTCATTTACATGTGTGTAGAAGGAGATTTGCAGATGTCAAGGCCCAGGGCATCTCTGCTTTCGTCCTGTGCCATACTGCAGGTTTTTTGAGGCTAGAGTTTTTACCACAAAGGCCTTGAATTTTAGAGGGTGTTTGCAGGGGTGCTTTACAGTTGTAGAATATGGGAAGGCCAGAATGGGACATTGTCGTAGAACCTTTTGGACTTTTATTATTTGGCAACTCTTTTCCCTTACTCTCTCGGGCATTAAAGCCTGTGAGGTGGGAGGAGGATGTTCTTCCCAGCTATACAAAAAGGGAAACTGGTTTGCTCAACACGGATGATGCTGACTGAGCCTTTGGTAGGGGAAGGAAGCTCTCCTCACTCTTCTACATCCCTGTCATCAGGCTGTTCTTCCCTCTCCAGAGCAAACTGTGCTAGGTCATGGGGCATCGTTATGAAATGGATGTTCATCTGCAACATTTGCTGAGAAAAATGTGCATCGATGCTTCCCTAAAATTACGAACCAGTGACACAGGTGCTGAATAACAGCTTCAAAATGTTTCAACAGGGCGTGACCTACTGTGGAGAAAGTTCAGCCAGCAACTTAACCATGGCCAACATCCCCTGGCACGAAGAAGTGGTGCATTTTGTTCAGGAGTTAGCCGACCTTCTTCCTGACTATGAAATTGCGTGCGAGCATGAGCACTCCAACTGCCTCCTGATAGCTCACCAAAAGGTAAGGGGTCTTTATCCCAATGTGTGGAAACAGGCATCGGATGGAACAGAATTTGACTCCTCTCTTTCTGTAACAAGAAGTTGCCGAGTTTCAGCAATTGCTGTGTCCCAGCAAGTTCTCTCCCTAATAGAGTTGACTTATTAACTCTTTTTTTTTTTTTTTTCAATATGCTTTAACAGATATCCCACAAAGCCGTGTGCATTTGTTTTAAGATTCCTAGGGGCTTTGCTACTGCTCTTGTTACAACCTTCCCCAGTGACGCAAGTAAGAGCTGGGAAATATATCGGAGCCCCTAGAAGAGCATTTAGCTCTCCAAAAAGCAAATGAAGGTATTTGTCATGATCCCTTCGCTTTGAAATTTTTGACAGCGAGAACAAATTGCACAGGGGTGGGTTGGTTGTTTCTTCCCAATCCCCTGTTTCTTCCTTGATAATGTTCATCAAGGAAAGCAAAAACCCGATGTAGCATCCCACACTGAGTAGCATGTCTTGTTATGTACAGAAGACAGTGAAGGGGCCCCGGCACTGGGAACAGTTTGCCTTATTTTTTTCTGAATCATTAGAACGCCTGTCAAAGCTGTAGAGCTCTTTATTTCTATTGCTCAGAGTTGGAGTAGCAGGGAGGACTGTTTTTCCTCCTTGCTTTGAGATAAACAATTTCTATATGAGACAAACTGATATGTCCGTGATAAACATGGAAAGATCTTCCCTTAGAACAACTTGATGTTTCTGGTTTTCAGGAGCGGAGCGGTGCTTGCAGTACATTTCTAGAGAACTGTTACAGAAGACAAACATAAAACAACTCTGTCATAATTTCATACTCTTTCTCTATCCGTACAAATGATAGATAAAAGGCCCTGAAACTACTGTTGCTGTCATAACAGCGGCAGTAGTCCAGCACTCTGTCAGGCACTGAAGTACTCTGCAGGCCAAGCATGTTTCAGCAGCATATATATTTCCTTTGAAACGTAGGTTTCTTATAAATGCCATCAAAGTAATTTGAAATGTAAGTGAAATGCCAAAAGCATGATTAATTTTTAGGGATGCAGGGTAGAAAAAATACCAAGTGTAATTTGGCTTCTGAATTCTAGAAAAAACTAATAGGAAGATTATGAGAAGTGTGAAATAAAGAATCAGCTAGACCACTGATGTAACAGCTACTTGTTATGTGAATGGTCATTGTTTTGCTATTAGTGTACCCTATCCTTATGGGTGTCATTCTCTGATTGCTTGCTTAGATTGTGAAATTTTATTCTTGATTCTGTTGATTGAGGCTATTGTACTCGTGTGTGTGTGTGTGGGGGGGGGGGTTCTCCAGGCAGCACGACATCAGATGATCAGTGCACATCACAATTCGCAGAAAATCAGAAATTATTTTTGATTGGTATTTTTATCACTAACTGTAATTGCTGAAAACTCCTCTTGGGAAAGTGCAGAAGTTACCACTTCTGTTGAGAATCCTGAGACGGGCTGTTTTATTGACTTGTGGCACCTTGAACTCTTCCTTGGTTTCCATTTTAAATCCTGTCTGGTGGTTCTGGTAGGTGTGCTGGAACGAGTCGCTCAACAAAAAAAAAAATCTCTTGTGTTCCCAGGTGAAAGACTGGTTTGGGAATGAAAGGAAACAAATTCCCCCCTTGGTTATTGATACATAATTTAAGTAACATCCTTATTAACAGTAACAAGCATAGACTGATACCAGCCCCTGGGGAATTCTGCAACTGTTTTGTTTTCCAGATTCATTAGGAGAGGGCGTCTTTGGGAAGCGATCTATACTTGAGTACGAAAATAACTAATAAAAAGTAAATTTATTTCCATTCCTTTTAATTCTGGATTTCAGGCTCCAGTGGAGAATAAAATTTGTCAGTGTTTTATTGGCTGCAAACCAGTGCTATGGGAGCCATCAGCCTGCAGTGAATAATTACAAAATGAAAGGAATCTTTAAAATACAAACCAGAGGAGGTGGGGGAAAGAGGATAGTAAAAATCATTAACAAATTTAATTTGCTTCATTGTGTTCTGCTAGATGGATCTCAATTTTATTATGTTCAAGTTAGTTTTGGTGTTTGTTGGGGGGGGAAGGTGGAGGGAGAACATCTTTATTGTAATACTAGTATGTTCAAGAGTCTCAGAATGACAGAGAGATGATGCTCTCTGCTAATAATACCTGGCTTTGTCCTTAATGAACAATGCCGACTGTAAGCTGCTTGTGGAATCGATGTTTGCTTAGGCTCCTAATCGCTTAGGGCCATGTGTTTAGGTTCTGAAAAAGGTAGCTGGGCATCATCTGACCTCAGTGCTCTTTCCTGCCCAGGGCAGGGGGTTGGACTTGATGATCTACTGAGGTCCCTTCTGACCCGTAAAATCTATGAAATCCACTGGAGTTTTTTACACTTTTTTAGGAAATCCATGGGAATTGGGTACCTAGAAGCTTTAAAACAGGGGTGTCAAATTCACCTTGTGCCCTGGAGCAGATCTGGACTGCAGACCTCTTTGTGAGCTGGATCCAGTTGGGGCACGCGGTGGTGGTGGCAGCTCTAACTCCAGCCTGGGGCATGAGGAAGCGGCAGCTCTAGCTCCGACACTAGGAGGCTCCTTCATGGGATGGCAGTAGGGCTGGTGACTGAGAAGCTAGGGCCATGGTGGAGGTGCTGAATGAAGTGGCTGGAGGGTGACCAGGGCTGTATCGGCCCCTGCTCACTCTCCTGCTGCTGATTGCCAGGTTTGCCGGGGCCCAAAGCCCTTAGATTCAGTGGCACACCACACCTCCTTCCCCCCAACAGGCTAGATAGAGCGGCTCTGCGGGCCATGCATTTGACACCCCGGTTTCAGAATATCTTCCTAGACACATTCAAGCATCTGGGACACCTGAACACCTTGAAAAGCCTGGCACTTCATCTCATAAGTCCTACTGATCTTTCAGTGAGAACTTGGTTTCTGGAATATAGGAATTGGATGCCTTTGCAAGTGTTACGTTTGGGTCTCAACTAAACCTCTCATTGAAGTGAATGGAAAGACTCTCATTTATTTTAACAGAGGTTAGACCTGGCTGTTACTAGTGCATTGTCCAAAAGGATTAGAAAACACTTGATTATTAGATTAATATAAACTTGTAGGTTGAGAAACTGATTCTTGCGCCTTTTTGAGGTTGGCTGTAGGATAGTTGTTGCCATCAAGTGGCAGCCTATAAAATGAAGGAAGGAAGCCCTGAGTCCCACAGTGTCCTTAGCTGTCCTCTGCTTCTGTCGTCCAGTCTGTGGTGACATTTCTTGTAGCTACTGATCCCAGTTGTCTTTTTTTCCTTGCTCTCCCCTTCATTGCACCCTCGTTTCTTAAACCGATGACCTCCATCTCTCCTTGCTAGGTGCCTTGAGAATTCCAGCTCTCTCCTTTGATTTTTTTTTTTTTCCCTTCCAGCAATGCTGACGTATTATCAAGTAATTATATTTGCTTTGTGGCAAATCCTATAAACAGAGAAGTACAAAAATCTAATTTATTACAGTACTTTTTTGAATTAATTGGCTGAGATGTTGAGACAGCCACAAGTTTATAATTTAACAATTAATTCTAATAACCTTTCCAGTGAGAGAACTTAGGCAGCTGGTTTTTCCTTGTGTTGTAACAATAAATGTATCCTTGACACAAACGGAGTGAGTGACTAACAGGAGGGGAAAATGTGCTGCAGATGCCTTGCAGCAACTATCTTTTTTGAATGCAAGTTACAATCTCCATCATTTCTCGAATAAAAACGTCTGTTCTTTTTTGTTGAATTGGCTTTACCCTGGCGTTTACCACATGCTCCATTGTGCTGCTGCCCTTGCTTGCCAATTGTATTCCCTTATGTTCATTTAAATATCTACCTCGCTTTTGTGATGGGTTTGTTTTCTAGCCGTGCCATTCCTGTTGCGTTCTGGTCAGGGGTTTCTCGTTAACACGATTTGTTTCCTGCTTTTCCACTTGGTGTTCAGGATTTTTTTTTTTCCGGTAGTTTTTGGATATGCATGGATCCACAATGTGTCCACATTGAAATATGCTATGAGCACCTTCCTTGCTAAGATAGATCAGAGTCCTTTGTGGTCCCAAATGAGATCAGGGCTTGTTTCCTCAACAGTGAGGCTTCACATTGAGGTGGTCAACTGGCTAGTTAGTCCAGAGCCTTCATCACTATTCCATCGTTCGGTTGTGCTGCATGCACGTAGGTGTGAAGTCCACCTTTGTTAGCCTACATGTGGCTTCTGTCATGTAGTGTCTGCTATTTTTATCTAATAGACAAAAGGGGTTCAGTTGGGACTCTGGCAAGAGCAAGTCAACAACTGGTTTAACTGGTTCAAATGTAACGGCTTACATTACAAAGGAGGCCAGGCTAGATGATCAAGTGGTCCATGGGACATTTAATTGAGGCATCTCTTACCTATTGCAGTTCTCTGAAGGAGACTCCAGAGGTTTCAATAAAAGGATGCAAATAGGTTGCTTTGTTCCTTGCTGATGAGCTCTCCTTTATAGAGGGAGGACAACATGCTCACAGCAGCTTGCTGCGTGTTGACTAATGAGCCACGAGCAAAAATCTCTGTAACATTTTATTTTCAGCCGGGCCTTAATGGTCCTACACCTTTAGAGATCCCTTCCGGGTTGTAAGCAACCCCCATCATCGCAAACTATGTAATCCAGAGTCTGGATTATATTCTCTGCCTGTTTCTGATAACAGTTCTTCAGTGTAACTCAGCCGATTGCAGTGGGATTGTATCTCAGAGGAGAATCAAGACCTCAATTTATCATCCCCTGTGAAAAGGTTACTTTTATTGGAACAGGGAATAAACTTCCCGCTGTTTACAAGAGTCGTGTTGTTCCCCACCCATTCAGCATACAATCCACATTCTTAAAGGCAATACTAATGTGGGCACGGCAGCTTGTAATTTAATGATTCCTGAGAAACTTTTCATTGCTGCTCTCAAGACGCAAAGCTGGGTCTGCTGTGCTTGATCCGTTAGTTATTAAAAAAAAA